ATACACCTGTTACATTAATGTTTTTTTTTTCTTCAAAGCATTTTAGAAGCTTTTAGGTAGTGCTGAACTTAGGACATGTGGGGGCTGAAGGGTTATTTCCAAAATATCGCCCTGAGATCACTCTCTGTCAATAAAACTTAACGACGAATTTGCTTATAAGAGCGGCAATCAGTTACCTGAAGAAGTGAGTCACCTAAGACAGTCCTGTAAATATCTGAAGACATTGGGCAACTCCCAGCCAATTGGGGGTTCTGAAACTGCCCCTCATGCCAATCAACACAAGACTGCTTAAGGAGACAAGGCACTGAAAGACAAATTGGCTTCAATCTCCAGGGACCCCACCTCTCCCACACTTTCCTCCTAGACTACCTCCTTGATGGCTCAGGGACTAGGGGGCAGCATCTGATAACCACTGAATTTGCCTCATGGGAAGCCAGGCTCGGTGGCTCAGGCTGTAATCCTGTGCCTTTGGGAGGCTGAGGTGAGTGGATTCCCTGAGTCTGCAGGTTCGAGACCCGCCCGGGCAACTTGGCGAGACCTCATCTCTACAATAAATCAAAAAATCAGCCGGGCGTGGTAGTGCATACCTGTAATTCCGGCTACTTGGAAGGCTGAGGCGGAAGGATCACTGGAGCCCAGCAGGTTGAGGCTGCGATGGCCGGGAGTGGCCACTGCACTCCAGTCTGGGTGACAGAGTGAGACTCCAACTCACTTTGGGCTCAGGTGATCCTTCCAAGTAACTGGAACCAAAGGTGTGTGCCACCACACCCAGCTAAATTTTTGATTTATTGTAGAGACGATACAAGGTCTTGCCAAGTTTCCCAGGCAGGTTTTGAATCCCTGGACTCAAGGCCGTCCTCTCACTTCCATCTCCCAAAATGCTGGCATTGCAAGTGTGAGCCACCCTGCCCTGCTTCCTCAAAAATTTAAATATGGTCTGGTGTAGTGGTTCACACCCAGGCTAGAGTGCAGTGGCTCCTTCAGCCTCACTGCAGCCTCAAACTCCTGGGCTCACGCAATCCTTCTGCCACAACCTCCCAAGTAGCTGGGACTACAGGCACATGCCACAACACTTGGCTAATTTAAAATTTTTTTGTACAAATGGGGTCTCGTGATGTTGCCCAGGGTCAAAGGATCCTCTTGCCTCCACCTCCCAAAGTGCTGGGATGACAAGAGACAGCCACCATGCCCAGCCTCAGAGGCTAATCTTAAAACAGCCTGACTGAGGAACCCTCCCTTGCTTGGGGAATGTCACATTGGTTGAGCCACAACAAGACTGCAGCGGAGATAACACCAACCAGACCTCCTGGAGAGCCACTACTCAAGATAATCCATCAATACACACCCTGTGCCACACCTATATGTTCCTCATACCAAGTTTCCCTTTTTTATTTTTGTTTTGCTTTTTCGAGTTGGAGTCTCACTCTGTCACCCAGGTTGGAGTGCAGTGGCATGCTCACAGCCACCGATGTCTCGACCTGCTGGGCTCAGGTGATCCTTCTGCCTCAGCCTTCCAAGTAGTTGGAACTACAGGCGTGCGCCAACATACCCAACTAATTTTTTTATTTATTCTAGAGACAAGGTCTCGTCAAGTTGCCCAGGTTGGTCTCGAACCCCTGGGCTCAGGCAATACTCTTGCCTCAGCCTCCCAAAGTGCTGGGATTACAAGCATGAGCCACTGGGCCTGGCCTGGACTCCTTTTTTTTTTTTTGAGTTGGAGTCTCACTCTGTCACCCAGACTGAAGTGCAGTGGCACATTCATGACTACCACAGCCTCGACCAGCTGGGCTCCGGCGATCTTCCACCTCAGCCTTCCAAGTAGTTGGAACTACAGGTGTGCGCTACCACGCCTGGCTCATTTTTGATTTATTGTAGAGATGAGGTCCCAGCAAGTTGCCCAGGTTGGTCTCGAACCCGCAGACTCAGGTAATCCTGAGTCGCCTTGGCCTCCCAAAGTGCTGGGATTACAGGCTGCGCCACTGAGCCCGGCCTGGACTACTTTTTAATTGGAAGTATCACTTGGTTTTGGGACAAGAGGCTGGTGTGAGGCTTGCCACACAGATAAGGGACAGTGTTGTGATCCCCCATGCACATGCTTGACAGCCGGCCTGTTTCTGAACCAAAGAGCATCATCCATTAAGAATCTCCCTGACACTGCAAGGAGGGACTTGGACTCTACTTCTGTCTCTTTTTTTGGTGTAAGGTTGCGATAGCCTTTGTGCAAGGTTGTGGTTTCTGCAGTGTCTTGTGATAATTCTTGTTGTCAGGCATCCGTGTGGGAGCACCCCCTCTTCACAGCCTGCTCCAGCTCTGTTTCAGGTTTTTAACATGTCTCACACCGGGCTCGGTGGCTCAGCCTGTAATCCCACGCCTTGGGAGGTTGAGGTGACCCTCCTTGGCCCGTTTCCACTGTGCATGTTGTGGACAATTTGTTAGTTGATTTCACGTAAACATATGCAGGGCAGGAAGGGAGGGACGTCTGGAAGGGGCAGGAAAGGACATCCAGGGTTCTGCTGATGTCCTGTTTCTTCTTGATCCAGCTACATTGTTGTCATCAACCTAAATATCAGAGAGGGTGACTGATTCTCTGAAGGAAAAGGATGTTTATTCGGGAGTAGCCATTACTATGGGAATACCGAGGCCATAGTAAACTATATGCATATTTAGGGAGGTAAAGGAAGAAAAGGGTTTTTATTTTCATTTTTTGAGTTGGAGTTTCACCCAGACAGGAGGGTAGTGGCACGCAGCCTCTATCTGCTGGGCTCAGGCAATCGTTCCGCCTCAGTCTTCTGAGTAGCTGGAACTACAGGCACGCACCACCATGCCCGGTTACTTTTTAAATTTATTGTAGAGATGAGGTCGCATGTCAAGTAGCCCGGGATGATCTCGAACCTATGGGCTCAGGCATTCCTCTCACCTCGGCCTCCCAAAGTGCTGGGATTATAGGCGTGAGCCACCACGCCCAGCCCACAAGGGTTTTTAAAAGGAAAAGTAAGGATGATGTAAATTTTTTTTTTTTTTTGAGTTGGAGTCTCACTCTGTCGCTCAGACTGGAGTGCAGTGGCATATTCATGGCCACCACAGCCTCCACCTGCTGGGCTCAGGCAATCCTTCCACCTCAGTCTTTCAAGTAGATGGAACCACGGTTACATGAGACCATGCCTGACCAATTTCTTGAGTTATTATACAAACAAGGTCTCACTAAGTTGCCCAGGGTGGTCTCAAACCCCTGAGCTCAGGCAATCCTCTCTTCTTGCCTCCCAAAGTGCTGGAATTACAGACGTGAGCCACTGTGACCAGCCATGTCGTTTTGAGGTAATTTTTCTTTTTTTTTGAGTTGGAGTCTCTTACGCCCAGGCTGGAGTGCAGTGGCACAATTACGGCTCACGGCATCCTCAACCTCCTGGGCGCAGACGATCCTTCTGCCTCAGCCTCCCAAGTATCTGGGACTATAGGCTACAGGTGTGTGCTACCACGCCCAGCTAATTTTTAAATTTCTTGAAAAGACAAGGTCAGGCTGGTCTCGAACTCCTGGGCTCAAACAATCCTCCCCACCTCGGCCTCCCAAAGGATAAGCCACCATGCCCAGTCTGTTTTGAGATAATTATCCCAGGCCACTAGGATTAATAACAAGGCCAATGCCAGTCCGAGGTTGAATAGGCAGTTGCTAGAGATGTCCTCACAGAAGCATTTTTTTGGTGTAAGGTTGCGATGGCCTTTGTGCAAGGTTGTGGTTTCTGTAGTGTCTTGTGATAATTCTTGTTGTCAGGCATCCGTGTGGGAGCACCCCCTCTTCACAGCCTGCTCCAGCTCTGTTTCAGGTTTTTAACATGTCTGACACCGGGCTCGGTGGCTCAGCCTGTAATCTCATGCCTTGGGAGGTTGAGGTGAGTGGGTTGCCTGAGCCCACGGGTTTGAGACCCGCCTGGACAATTTAGCGAGACCTCATCTCTACAATAAATCAAAAAAATTAGCTGGGCGTGGTAGCGCGTGCCTGTAGTTCCAGCTACTTGGAAGGCTGAGGTGGAAGGATCACCAGAGGTCGAGGCTGCAGTGGCCGGGAGCGGCCAGTGCACTCCAGTCTGGGCGACAGAGTGAGACTCCAACTCAAAACAAAACAAAACAAAACATGTCTGACTCCGTTTTGATTCTGGCAATTTTCACATGGTCATTTGTGAATGACTGTCAGGCTCTATACTCATGATCTGTATGTGTATTTTTTCTGAGTATATATTTTACTTCGGAGCAAAAATAAAAATAAAGATAGGGCAAGTATGCTAATGTACTTGTACAGATATTTTTTTTCAATGCTCTTTATATTAAAAATTGGAAGCCGGGCCCGATGGTTCATGCCTGTATTCCCAGCACTTTGGCAGGTGGAGGCGAGCGGACTGCCGGAGCTCAGGGGTTCAAGACCAGCCTGGGCAACATGGTGAGACCTTGTCTCTACAATAAATCACAAAAACTAGCCAGGCATGGTGGCGTGCATGTATAGTTCCAGCTACTTGAAAGCCTGAGGTGGAAGGATTGTCTGAGCCCAGTGGATAGAGGTGGCCTTGAGTGTGCCACTGTACTTCAGCCTGGGCAACAGAATGAGACTCCGACTCAAAAAAAAAAGGGAAAAAAGAGATTAGAAACAAGTTTGGCCTGGTGGCTTACACCTGTAATCCCAGCACTTTAGGAGGCCAAGGTGGGAGGATTGCTTGAGGCCAGGTTTTCGAGACTGACCTGGGTGATATAGTGAAATACTTAACAATTAGCTGGGAATGGTGGCTCACACCTATAGTCCCACATACTTAGGAGGCTGAGACAGGAGGATTGCTTGAGCCCAGGAGTTCAAGGCTGCAGTGAGCTATGATCATGCCATTGCACTTAAGACTGCAGCGGAGTGAGACCCAATCTCTAAAACAATAACAACAGGAAACTTCCTCCGTGCATAAAGAGTAAAAGATTGATAACTTTTAGTAAAACCATAAAATAGAATATTATTCAGTCATTAGGAATGTTGACAAAAATGTATATTTATTCACTTAGAGGTATTAAGTAAACAATAAATGTGAAATAAGTTAGAAAAGGAAGCATATTCCAAAATATTAAAAGTAATAATTTCTGGGAAATATAAAACATGCAGAACATGAATACATTTCACTAATCTGAGGAGCTTATTAGACACACATTTCTGAACTCCCACCCTCAGAGGGTCTTCTTCAGGACTCCCGGGCTCCCAGCCACCCCCCAACCCCTGGTTAATTTTTATGCATAGCTGGTCCCTACCATTCTGTGGGGGAGTCTTTGAGAAGCTGATGCAAACTGTGGCCCCTCTCCCTTGAAAAACAAATGGACACACCAAATCTTGGATACAATGGGGGTGGGGTGTCCATAACTCCAGGTAGGAGGTAGGGACATCTCACGTAGAATAGGAGGTCATCTCCCCTCATTTTCCTCTTACTTCTATTTTTCCTCAGAAGACCCCCCCATCCCCAACTCCCTGGAGATGGAAGAACCTCTGTCAGGCAGCATGGGCCCCCAGGGCCATCGGCAAGTTCAGAGCACATCTTCCCGTTTGTTTCTGTCAGGGTCATGGGGGCATCCCAAGGGCTGCAGGACAGCCCAGGTTGGCCCACATGTGGCCTTCTCCAGCTGCCTCCCTGCCTCCTAAGTCTTGTGAAGCTGCCCCTGTATCCTGACCCTTCCTCTTGTTGACGTCAACCACAAAAGCCCCTCAAGGTCACCCTGCATGCATACCACTTCATTTATGCTGACCTGGGCTCCTGGAATGTGATGGTAATACTCCATAGTCTAAATGGAATGGGCTTGGTGGTGACTTCTGTGTGTTATAGTGGGCCCCAGGAAGTGTCACAAACTTTAGGACCCCAAGAAAAGTTTATTAATAGACCTCAGGAGAAGATTTCTTTTTTATGTGTACCTCTAAAAGTCATGGACGGTTCTATGGCTTCTAAGAGGGGCAAGGCAGTCAAGTTCCTCTGGAAAGAGAGAAGTCCATGGCCTCGGCCGCCAGGTGGCATCGCTGACCATTCTGGAAGAGCAGCTTGTCCAGAAAGCCACATCCCTCTGATGCTCTGGTTCCCCTCCTGGCCTCTGCTCCAGGGGAAGGCCCATCCTTTTCCTGAGAGGACCGGTGCCCTGAGCCGAGGCCACTGAACCGAGGCCCTTCCCACCCCCCTACATCCCATGTGATCCCCCAGTTCTGCCCTCATTGCTGTTCTCCATGGCTGCTCCTTGGGCTCCAGAGCTGAGCTGGTGGACAGGATGAACTGGGGAAAGATGCCGTAGGGCAGGATTGACTTCTCTGAGCTCTGACATAATAAAAAGAAAACCCAAACACTTTTCTTATTTTTAATATCTGAGATCAAAAAAACCCAAATCCACAAACCAACCACCAATATGGTCCATCTGCATGGGGGCGACATGCCTGGGGTGGGCTCCCTTTCAGGGCTGTCCTCCAGGGCAGCTCTCGGGCCCTGGTCCTGGGGTGTGCCTGGCGGCGACTGGAAGCCACCCTGGTCTCCAGCTGAGCACCGGGACAACCGAGGACCCAGTCTTTCAGAAAGGCCACCAGAACTGTTTGTAAAGCATGAGGTGGCACCAGGAGAAGTTTTCCCTTGAGGCTGAGCTGAGGGTTATTTTTTGTGGAGAAACTTCATTTTACTGCCTAAAAAAAAAAAAAGAAAGAAGATAAGAACATTTCACCCAGCACACAAAGAAGGGTAAATTTTGCCCTTTTCGCCTCAGATGTGGTATGGGTGACTGTGGTCCCCCAAGCCATCCCAGGAGCCTCTGGAGAAGTTGAGAGGGGTTCACCCTTTCCCAAGTTGTCCCCCAGAGCTCAAGCTCCTGTCCTACTCTATCGAAAAGAGGTCTTCGGCAGGCTTGAAGCACTGCACTCAGCCTCCTTTTTTTTTTTGAGTTGGGGTTTTATCGCCCAGGCTGGAGTGCAGTGGCACGCTCACGGCTACCACAGCCTTGACCTGCTGGGCTCAGGTGGTCCTTCTGTCTCAGCCTTCCAAGTAACTGGAACCACAGGCGCATGCTACCACGACTGGCTTACTTTTTTGATTTATTGTAGAGATGAGGTCACATCAAGTAACCCAGGCTCATCTCGAACCCCTGAGCTCAGGTAAGCCTCAGTTCGGCCTCCCAAAGTGCTGGGATTACAGGGTTGAGCCACTGCACCTGGCCCTTATAACTCTTACATTTCTACTATGCAGGGGAATTTGGAGGCCAGTCCAAGTCTCTACTGCCAGATATCCTTGTCTGGTTCCAGTCATGCTCTCTAAGCTTTAAGAGCAGAGGGATCATAGTGAAAGAGAGAGCAAGATGGCCCTGGGGCGCAGTAAAGGGGGGCATTTGCTTCCTTTGTTTCCACTCTGGGGACAGATTAGATTAGAAGAGGAGGCTAGAAGTCCAGTTTAGCCCTCCTGGTGCAGGAAGGGTCCAGTGGATGGATGCAGCCAAGACTCCACAATAGACAGCTTGGAGGTGGGGACCAGGACCCTGAGCCTTACCTAATCCCTTCAGGAACTTATTGACACCGCTGTGCTCTCCACTGGGGAGAGTTTCCAGATATTCTTGGGCTCGGACCTCAAAGAGACCTGTCGAAAAGAGAAATCCCAGTCATCTTAGTTCCTGGTCTTTGTACTTGGAAATATATCCGTTTCCTCACTACTGGAAAAAAGAGAAATTTTGCTTCTGAGACTAAGTTGTGCCTATAGACACGCTCTGAATCATCAGGTTTACGAGGGCTTTTATTGCCTTTACAATTGCCCCACCTTGTGCAATAACTGTCTTTAGAAGGCTGTAAAGCTACCTCATATGTGAAATCCTATTTTTATTCAACAAACGCCTTCCAAGAGTCTACACCATGTAGGGCATGTAGTTTTAAAGATGAACCTGACAGTCCTGGCTCTCAAGGACACGCATATTCTCCCATTGCCTTGCTTTCTCCTGTGAGAGGACCTTGGTCAAGTGATTTCATTTCCTGGGGATCCATCTGTGAGCAGAGGGTGGCTGGACAGGCCATTTCCCAGGCCCCTTCAGCTCTGGTTCCAGGGTCTGAACACGGTGTCTTCATTTATGATTGATCTTTTTTTTTTTTGAGTTGGGGTCTCACTCTGTAGCCCAGACTGGAATGCAGTGGCATGCTCCCGGCCACCGCAGCCTTGACCCGCTGGGCTCTGGTGATCCTTCTGCCTCAGACTTCCTAGCTGGAATTACACGCGTGCGCTACCACACCCAGCTAGTTTTTGATTTATTGTAGAGATGAGGTCTCACCAAGTTGCCCAGGGGGGTCTCGAACTCGCAGGCTCAGGCAATCCACTCACCTCAGCCTCCCAAAGCGCTGGGATTACAGGCTGAGCTACCGAGCCCAGCCATGACTGATCGTTTTTTTCCAGGTGCTTTTGTTGCGTTGGAGTCTCACTCTGTTGCCCAGGCTGGAGTGCAGTGGCACAATCATGGCTACTGTATCCTCCATCTACTGGGCTCATGCAATCCTTCCCCCTCAGCCTTCCAAGAACCTGGGACTACAGGCATGGGCCACCACAACGAGTTAATTGTTTCACTGATTGTCGAGATGAGGTCTCTCCATGTTGCCCAGGCTGGTCTCAAACTCCTGGGCTCAGGCAATTCTCTCGTCTCAGCCCCCCAAAGTGTTGGGATTACAGGCGTGAGCCACCATGATCAGCCTTTCCAGGTTATTTTTTATTTTTTTATTTTTTGAGTTTGAGTCTCACTCCGTTGCCCAGGATGGAGTACAGTGGCACACTCATGGCCACCCCAGCATCAACTTGCTGGGCTCCGGTGATCCTTCTGCCTCAGTCTTCCAAGTAGCTGGAATTACAGGCCTGCGCTACCATACCCAGCTCATTTTTGATTTATTGTAGACAAGGTCTTGCCAAGTTGTCTGTGTGGGTCTCGAACCCGTGGGCTCAGGCAACCCACTTGCCTCGGCCTCCCAGAGTGCTGGGATTACAGACTAAACCACCGAACCTGGCCAGAGTTATCTGGAGTTTTAAGTAAGAAGTGCCCTTTCTTGCCTGGTGGAGCGGCTCACACCTGTAATCCCAGCACTTTGGAAGGCAGAGGCGAGAGGATTGCCTGAGCTCAGGGGTTTGAGA